TCTCCTAAAAACTGCAGCAGCACGATGACTTCACAATGAGGGGAATGTCTAGTGCGGGGTACTGACTGCAGCACTAAATTACCACACCAGCAAGCGAACACATGACAGTGGACTCATGTGTGTTGTAAATTATATTAAAATATATTTTTTTTACCGTTCTAGGTGATGGGAGTTAAGGAGGGGGCAAAATTGCCCAGAGATCAGTTTTTAGGGCTAGTTTTGCAGAAGGAGGAGTTGATTGTTCAAAATTGTATGCATAGTTTAGGTATTGAGGTAGTAAAGGGTTTTAGGTTTTGACAGTTAACAGTGTTGGACTACTGGTGCCAAAAGCCAGCATGCTTGCACCTCAAAACATTCAGACTCAAAGTCCTCTAAAACAGCTACACTTGTCTTTAAAATCAAACTTAGGTGTAAGATAATGTATAGTACAGCATTTGCAGCACAATATAGACTGTAATGTGGTTTGTCTAAGCTTAATGTCACAAAACAAAAGTTTACAGTTAGATGTACAATTAAATGATTCCTAACTGTAAGATTCTGAATGTTGGTCCTTATCATTTATAACTGCCATCCGTGAGCCCATAAGTGCAGTTTACGTGATATAACTTTCAGAATAATGGGGGCCGTTGTGTTTTGGATGGCTTGAAGAGTCTTTAAAAAACAACCAAAATAATAAATGTGTTTGTGCAGTGGTGACCATTTGTCAATACAGTTCTTGACACTTGGGTTACAGCACTTAAACCTATACGTCATAAACACCAGCAATGTGGAAACCAGAGAACTGCAATGAATACACAATTCATCATAATGGATAGAAGATGTCTGTTTATGTAGGAAAGATGCATCTCTCTCACACTGGCTGAGCACGACATGAGACTGTCTTGTACACTTTATAAAGCACATCTTGGCTTACAGTTAGGAATATTAGTATACCGTGACTACACCTTATGAAAATATCTCAGAAGTAATAAATTAAACATGACAACATTTCTGCATTACCAGGAAGCATACATCTCTGCCACACAAATCTAAATGTTACCAAACTTGATGTTAGTGAGAACTACAATTGTTTTATCCTGTACAGTTACTGTTGAAAATACCAGCCTCAAAAAATAATTCATGAAATATTTGACCTTTTCTGCAATGTTTTTGTGCTGATGTAGGTACAAATTCCAGTTATCTCAAGTACAACTCTAATTGCTTATTACATACTGCTTCATTGGATCCAGTCTGCTATTGAAATGCCCTAGTGTTTGAGTGAAGACATCTTCTTCCCTGGCTGCGCAGAGTAGTTGAGCCATTGATGAGGGAAATAGACAGGATGTTCGTTTTCTACACAGGTTGACTCTTCGCCAACCTCATCATCTGTAGGAAAAGGTGTTTGATTTTTTTCAGGATAGAAGAAGGCATTAACTTGAAAAAAGTAAAAACCTTGCAATAAATGTTGTATATGTGAGAAGGGGTGTTAAATACATCTTTCAATTTCACGTGAACCATGCTTTACTATACTGATCTTATTGATATCCAGACGATACTCTCTCAAACTGTATCAGTTTTGTAGAGCAGTGTTCACCGTATTATATTGTGTACCCAGTGACGTCCCAATGTTAATCGCCGCCTAAGCGATTTCGTTCTGGGGGGATGCTGACAGGGAACTGGTCACTTGTCATCCAGGGAAGGGGGTCCTCATTGTCACATTGCATCTGTCTGACTCACTGATGCCCAGCTCACTGATACTATTGGTTGCCAGTAGACATGTAAGCTGCGGAAAAATTTGGTTCGGTTCAGATATTTTGTTACTTCGGGATTCAGGATTTAGATCCGAAATTCAATTCTGTTCGGGTTTCGGATTCGGACGCAGTCCGAATTTTCGTTAGTTTCAGACGAATTTACGGTTTTCAGAAAACCATATACAGATATTAATACTAGAGCTGAATCTCCTAGACCCGAATGGCATTCGGGATCCGAATTTCCGAATGGCATTTGGGAGCTCCCGAATGCAATTCGGAAATTTGGCCATTCAGGTCTTGGAGCCTCAGCTTTAGTATTATACTGTATGTATATACTGTATATGGCTCCCTTGTTGCCGTAACGAAAACTCGTGTTCAGTCCCATTCGGATGCATTAAACCAAGAAACACATCGGATTAGCCAGAAAAGTCACATGTCCAACTCAGTTTCATTTTTGAACAAAATTATGATGGGATCGGAAATTCATAAACGGAAATTCGGATTCAGACACATTCGTATGCATTGGGATTCGGAAATTCGGATGTAAATTGCACATGTCTAGCTGCCAGGAGCTGGGCAACCCACTCAGCTCTAGGCAAGCGATGATGGCAGTGAGCTGGGCGGGATGTCAGACAGAGCTTCACAAGTTGCTAAGTGCTCTTAGCAACCTTGGGCACTGTGGCCACCCCCTCCAACAACCGGCTGCCCCTCCAATGAGATGCTGCCTTAGGCAACCACCTCAGGCTGCCTAATTATAGGAGAAGCCCTGTGTGTACCCATAATAATATCTGAAGTTTGGAGGGTACAAGCAGATTCTTACCAAGTTTTGTAAAATTACTACCTAAATTTGTATATTTGAAGTGCCAATGACCTCTATGTGTATATATTCTTCTCTAGTTAAGAAAAAATAGCTTCACATACAGAGATATCATCTGCTGTGCTATGTATAAAGAGATGATATGATGCCATATTTCCCAAAATGCAGGTTTCCCTGCCTGTTGCTGTACTTTACTAAATTGATTGCCAGTCATCCTAATACATGAACAGGGAGGCAAAAATCAAACCCAAGCAGATATGCACAAGTTTGACATATATGACTACCGCATGATACCTAATTTTTCATTTTAAGTGCTGCCATGCTTTCTACAGATCACACAATGAAAATGTCAACATATACAGTATGTTCTATACATTTTAGTTTTGACAAAAAACTTATTTTTCTAATGCTTCTGAAAATAGATACTAGGCCATGGTCAGAATGTAAATTTTATGTTGTGAGGTAATCTTCATGAAACTGTGTGACTTGCCAACTGGCAACTTTAGCTACAGGATGTGAGGTCGTTTAGACTGAGATCACTTTCCAGATTATGCTGCATACTGTTGTGGCAATGAAACAATAAACTACAAGCATCACGTTTTTCACAAATTCAGAGGTAGGGATTTCACTCCCAAAAAAAATTCTATCAAATCTTGAAACAATAATGCAAGATAAATATTTAAACACAGTATGTAGAAGAGTGCAACTACCTCAATAACTAAAATACATGAGTGGATAGACTATTGCTGTGTCTTCCCGGCCAATCAGGAAGCCAAGCAGCAGGTAATTACTCGCCACCTGGCTTCCTGATTGCCCGGGAAGCCGGTTCCATGGTCCCATATGGCACTGCCGGTCAGAGGAAATCTTCCTCTGACTGGAAGTTCCGGTAATGGGGAAGGTATCGAAAAACTCGGCCAAATACTCAGTATCTGCACCAATACTGATACTAGTATCCGCATCGGTGCATCCCTACTTCATGCAATGTCAATCTGGCAACAGCTTTCTCAAGCTCTCCTGGAAGCTCTTCAGCATAGCAGACTCATCTGAAGATGCTCCCTAACACAATCAACCCTAGTTTCCTTGGGCCTTGCTCCAGGTCTTCAGCTGTGGCCATGTCCCAAGAAAAGGACTCCTAACACTGGCATCCTTACCAGGCAGCTACCTAATAGGAAAGGACAAAAGACCTTTCTAGAAGGTTGCTCCAAATATTTATCCTCTCCCCTCTCACTCATTGGAATAAAACCCTCAGTGATTGACCAAGGCAGACCAACATTTAGAACCCAATACATTGTTAATTTGCAGTACTGGAGCCAATTTAAAAGCAGCAGGCAGAAAAAAAAAAAAAAAAAAAAATGTCCTAAGCTTAGGTGAACACATAAAACATAAAAAAGCTCAGGCTGGCTGTAGCCTAGCTGCAAAAACACTAGATTTAGCTGGGGACACTTCAGTTTAAGGAAGGATCCCTACTATTGTATGAAAAATATTATTCTTCTCTCTGGTATGCACCGATATACAGTATATGCTCATTGAGATTTGGATGGCTGTTAGATGCAACATGGGTGCCACTTACAGTATTTCAGGTGTGTCAGTACCAAAGTGTCAGTGATTATTGCCATCAGCATTGACCACAAAGAACTGTCTTTGCAGCGGACATTTCACATATTGTTCCACAGAGCATTACATTCAGGACCACTTTATAGGACGAGTGAAGTGGCATACGTTTGTAAAAAAAAAATAGGTAAATAAAAACTGTACAAGGCTATGTTAATTAAAAATGTCATACATCTAAAAATATATTCCTTGCAGGCAAGGCTTAAGAAATCCAGGCATCAGGCTCCACTATGTCATCCCTGTGGTACCCATTTTGTTGTCAAACTTGTTTTGCGCTTCGCACATGGGGCACATTCGACAAAAAACACATGGCTCATTGCTGTCTATCTAAGTAGCTTTGACTGCTCTTATGAGACCTGTATGCAGTGCACAGATTAGGAAAAAACTATATGACATTTTTAAATCCACCAACCCAGGGGTGCAGGACTAGGCCTGGCACTTTGTTCTGTCAGGCCTCTCTCACAGGAACTGAAAATATATATTACATAAAAAATTATTTTAGCATTTTATTGTTTTGAGTAGGTAGATAAAAGCCTCTCAGAGTAATTATTTTTAGAAAGTTAATGTAATCCCTGAATATAGCCATTTCCATCTTATTCATGGTTAACCTTGAAGGGGAATTTCAAATCCATAGCTGTTACAGCTGAGAGGACTACACCCAGGAGACTCTTGAAATCAGTTTTGAAGGGTGATGCACTGCGACAGATAAAAGTTGGATAGAGTTTCAGTAGCTATATAAAGACTGAGACTTATGTCACTGTACTAATTAAATTCCTTAGGGCTGTGCTGTTTTCAGCACAAGTTTCCAACCAGGCAGCCTCAGTAATCAAGGGCAAAGCATAATGATGGACCTTTTTGAAACCAATTCCTATTTCTTTTATTTTGAAGGAGATAATGGAGCCCTACAACAACTGGAAATGACAGATGGCTCTCCTTTGTATCCAGGTAGTGATGGCACGTTGTCCCCTTGTCAGGATCAGATACCTGGAGACGGTGGAAGTGACAGCAGTGGAGAGGAACATGTATTAGCCCCACCTGGCCTACAAACGCACTGTCCTGGGCAGTGTTTGATCTGGGCTTGTAAGACATGCAAGCGGAAGTCAGCTCCAACAGACAGGAGGAAAGCAGCTACTTTGAGGGAAAGGAGAAGATTAAAGAAAATTAATGAAGCATTTGAGGCTCTGAAAAGAAGGACAGTTTCCAACCCCAACCAGAGACTCCCAAAAGTTGAAATCCTACGCAGTGCAATAAATTATATAGAGAGGCTTCAGGATCTACTGCACAGCTTGGATCAACAGGACAAGCCCCAGAAAGAAGATGAGCCTTTCCCATACAACCCCAAAGATGTCAGTGTAAGCAATCGAGTGTGTTTGGTGTCAGCATTACTCATAGTTCTGAAGTAGCTTTAAAGACATTTAACTGATAAAGGCAAAATCCAGACATCATTTAAACATAGAAGGCATGAGGTTATGATGAATAGATTAAACATGGAGACCTGAAGTACAGTCTTCAGCACAGCATGTTCAACTCAAATAAAAGAGTATGCAGATACGTAGAGTAACCTTGTAAAGGGCTGCATTAACCCAACTGCTCTACATTTATCCAACAGCAAAAATGTCCACGCAGTTTTTTAACACTTAAATATTTAGCCTCTGATATTGTTGAAAGAAAGTACGGTAACTCTGATTAAAAAAAAAGTGATTCAGCTGCAAAATGGTCTAATAAGTTATAGTCTCCATGCACTATGGAACAGATTGTGGACTCAGTTAATTGAAATTCTTAAACTTGCTGGCAGCTGTACTGAAGAAGTAAGAGGGTCACATGTAGCCCAGCAAACACCAGTTACATAATGTGCTATGAAGTATAGCAAAAAGCAATAAAATAATGAATTAACCAGGATAACAACATGTACAATCATCGATAGGTCTAGGAAAAACACGTTAAACCTGTTTCAACAAGAAAACAATGAACAGACAGCAAAAAATACAACTCTAAAAAAAAAAAGTTCTAAAAACTGAAATGCTTACAAATAAAATGTAGTATTGTACCATGAAAGAGAAGTGCATGTTAACGCTCATCACTTTTTCAGCCAAGAATGTAAGTGTTGCTGCAGCTGTCTTGAAAACGTATGTCAAGCCTGTCAATTGTAGCACAAATAGCCAAAAGAACAGTGCACAGAGTGTCCTAGAGCCAGACCGTAACATTTTGTTTGAGATCAGTATACAGAATTCTCCATTAAAAATCCTCTTTTTTGCTACTAAGGTCTATGAATTGCAGTATTACTAATAAATATATTTCTGTGTAAACTAGTGAAAAAACTTTAATTTGGAGAGAACATTTAAATGCATATTGTGATGATGTAATACTGCAGGATAGCTATAAGCAAAAAGAACAAACAATTCAAGCATATATGAACCCCATGGGGTTTACAATGACTATCATATGTATTAAAATTTAAAACCTAAAAGTGATATAACCAGTTCTGTGCTTGCAAGTTAATAGAAATACATTAGATATGTGCAAGATGTGGGATGAATTCATATTATTCAAATTATTTATATTATGGACTTTTTAAACCATGCAAATCAGTCAGAAAGAATGTTGGCCAGTCTTAGGAAAATGTTACAGATGAAGCAGTCAAGATTTGACTGTTTCAGCAACAATCTTTTATTTCTGTGGGAATCTATGAATCAGTTGAAACAAAATAAAACTTGTGCCATCTGAAATCTGTAGAAATTGTGCCTGGAAATATCAGTTAGATGGACCTGTAAATGATTGGTGCACTGCACAGGCACTTTGCCAAAGAACGGATCTGCAATCCATCTGGGAAATAAGTAACAATAATAAAAATCTAATCATATAATAAAAATAACAGCAGTAACAATATGAACAGTCCAGAAAAGAAGTCTATGGTTATATGGCGCTTTGTAACTCTTTGGAGATTAGGGAACATCTGATATTTTGCCAGATGAAAGATAATGTTTTGTATGACTACTAGCATTACAAGCAGCATTTGAAATACACCAAACAATAAAAAATGATAATTTAAAATTAGACTCTCAGGATTAGTAAAAAAAAATACTAACTAGTGTTCATAGGAGATTTACTTTTATTGTCAAGAAACATAGCATTTAGTAACTCGCTGTATTGTACCAGAATGAAACGCAAGAATAGGGACAGCAGAGAATAGTATGGTATGACTTACATGTATATATATATTGTAACATTTATTATTATTCTCAGATCCAGAGAGAAGATTTCCTTAGTAGCTGCCATAGTGACTGGCACAAAATTCCGAATCATTCCACAATCTCAGACGTCAACCTTAAAGAAGGTAAATCCAAACATTCTGCTTGGTCTTATGCTGTGATGATGTACAAGATAGTCAGTCATACAGTTCACGTCACTCCCTCTTCCCATTTTGGTGTCAAGCATTTCCAACAATCGATGGGATTAAAAACGACACTTTACTGTTATTTAAAGGGCAATGTTAATATTAAAGTACTACAGGCAAAACATTTAAAGGCCAAAATTTAAAGCCTATAAAATGTCCCCCAGCTTTAGTTCATCTCCTGTTGCAAAGCACTAACATGTTGTAGATATAAACTAGCACTTGATTTTCACAAGCTCAATTAGCTATAAGGAAGCTCGGTTGTAGCATCTGTCACTTGCATTGACATTTGTTTTTCAGAAGGATCTATTCATGAGTCCTCAGCTTCCAGCAGTCTCCAGTGTCTCTCTTCCATAGTGGACAGTATATCAACTGAAGAGCCGAAGCTCCCATGCACTATTCAAGAACTGGTCGACAACAGTAACCCCATATGATAGAATCTGCATGTTGGCAAGCATAAAGAGTCAACTGTGTTGTTAAGTAGACACTACTTGCAATAACAAAGTGGGCTTTCATCCCTGCTTATAAAGGCAAAATGCATTGTTCAAAGCACCCAATCAGCAACGATCTTTCATTGCTGTAACTGAAAAGGTGAAATTTGATTGGTTGCTCTGAGTTAGTGCATTCAGCAGATCATCATTGCTCTCTGTACTGCCTCATTAAATAAGCCTGATGATGTTCCCCGAGTAGATATAAAAGGTGTAAATATTAAGTAATGCTTAAAAGATGTTTGCATTATTGAAAGCAAAGATCTAGGTCTGAAATTATTCTGGAGAAAAAAATAAACATTTCCTTCACATTCAGCACAAATTCATTCCTATCTTTGCATTGTGCAAAGACAGTTTTATATTCTTATTAACGTATCGGAAAATTCCCCTGCTTGTTTTGCTTTATGTCTTTCTTCAGAGAAGCAATTACATTGTTAAGTCAATTATGCATAAAAGTTGTGTGTAAATATAAAAATAATATATATATATTCAGTTGAGTAATAGCAGTGTGTTTACAGTTTGCCGATCTCTGAAATGTTGTTTGGCCCATTTAGAAATATTGCAGGTAAACCTTGTGATTTTTCTGAACTATTCCTGTAAATGTATCAGATGGTTAGCACATTTTGTGGTCAGGAGCAAACGCTGCTCATTTACAACATAAGCCAGCTACTAAATATGCAAACACGGAGATATTAGGTTACTGAAGGATTCAGCTGTGGGGCTAAGTCATTCTGTTCAGAATCAAACACATATATTTCTTCTTTTGTCACATATTATGTTAAGTTTTGCTGAAATAAACCTATCTGTTTTTCAATTTAAAATGAACAAAGGGTAAAACTCTAGAGGTATTTTTTTATTATTGTTGATATAACACATGCTTATTGAAGTTGATTGATTCACAGTGTAGTTCAGTTAGCCTAATGAAATATATGAAGCTATGTTTATTATTTAAGGAAGACGGTCATGCAGAAGAATAAAAAAAAAGGATAAAGGCTGAGCAACAGTAACTTATAAAAGTGATCAATCTCTGATCTTTAAGTAATCAGCCCCATTGAGAAACATTGTATTTATTACTGTGTTGCAATGTCAGATTGTATCATTGTGTTGATTACAGCAGAACCTCAGGCAAACTGCTTAATATACAGATTAAATACATACTGTATCAGGGAGCTGTTTTACCTACCAAAGGCATTCTTTTTCTGTTTAATCAGGTCTGAGATTTACAAAGTCCAGCCATATAGCACAGCCTTGTCTGGCCAAAAGGAGACCCGATAATACTTACAGATCTTGTCCCTCCCCTAGCTCTTGGGTGGACAGTAAAAGTAAGCAGGAGAAACACAAGACCATCCCTTTGCAACTGTGCTAACTCCTTCTATCAGCAAGTCCCTTGTTAGCACATGAGCACTACAACACAGCTGATTGGGTCCTTGTCCTTTCACATGCAGTCTAAACCCTGCTGCACAGTGGATTGCAAGATGCTCATACCAAGTCAAATTCACATGCATACACTGCTGGCAATAAAAAAATGAAATATTTATGAATACAGAATTGCATTTATTTGTGTCTTTTATACCTTCCTGATATTAGCTTAGTTTTAAAAGACAGCATTTAGTTTGTTAAAGCACTGTGTATCAAAAAGAATTGTAATCTCTGCCATGGGAAGATAAGAAATAGACGTGGCTGTCTTCTCCTCTTCTCCAGCTTGGAAGCTTGTTCATGCTCACAGTATATACAATAAAAGGCAAAAGAAATCAGCTGCATACCAACATTACCCAATAGCACAGATGGGTTTATTTTTCGGGTGCACAACATGCACCCCACCAAGACCCTAGGCACTGTAATGCGTTTCACCCAGAATGGGATTAATCATACAGATAAGGGAGGAACTGAGTGTAAAGCATTTATATACAAAGATAAGTACTGATTGGGCAAAAAGATCCTAAACATACAATAACAGATATATACAACTCCAAAATAACACTTTCCCTTGAAAACACAGATATGTTAATCTGTTTAGCCAAAACTCTGTTTACAAAAGCTAAAAAAAAAGAAATTTGGCCCAAAAAATGAAGAACTCATACATAGCAATTGGAACTACTAAGGGTAAGGATGTCAGTCAAAATAATGAATCCAATTCATAATTCATACTCTTCAGAAACTAATATGAAGTTTCAATACAATGCCTTATGACACTCTTTCTGAAAGTTGGACACATAGGAATTCTATTGGAATTGTGTCTCTCAATAAAGTGTTTAGCCAAGTTTGTATTCTTCACGGTTCTAATATTTGTTAAGTTGTCCCCCAAATGGATATCACAGTCATCTGGTTTGTCTACCTATGTATTGCATTTAACACTCATCAAATGTAAGCACATATACCACATCTCTAGTATTACACCAATTGCTTAATTTTTAAAAACTCTTCTTGTAGTGTACGATCTTATATTATGAGTATGTCCCAAAAAGTTACAACTTGAACAACTTGCTGTGTGCATTATTTAAAAGCTCCATTTGTGCTTAACCAGATTCTGTTCTTTTTTTTTTGGTGCTAAAGAGGCTGATAATTGATTGGCTACAGTTTTTTTAGCCTTCCTGGCCACAAAATGAACACCTGCTGACAATCCTACAGTTATATTAAAAGAAGAATACAGGAAGTAACACGGAGTTTCAGTTTCCCCCTTACTATCATCCTGATATACAGATTGCAATTTTAAAAAATATATGTACAAGGTTCCATAGGTTAGGTGGGCAGAGTAAAATAGAAGTGCAGAATTTTAATGGAAAAGTGTACCTGCATATTGAAATGAAATTACATTTATTTGTTTATGTTAGACGTCTTTAAGATGGAGCTGGAGATCGGTGTTGGGTTCTGTAATCTATGGTGGCCGATGTGGGTGGCACATGGATGTTAAAACTGTGCTCAGTGATGCCACTAGATACCAGTCTGCCACTATCACTCTAGAGCAGGGGTGCCCATAAGGTTGATCATGATCTACCAGTCGATCGCAAAGCTATTGCTGGTAGATCTCAGGTCGACACCCTGTCCTGCGCTCCATGTACCCGAATGTGTCGGACGCTAAAGCATCCAACATATTCAGCTCTCCCCTCCTGTCTGAAGCGGCCAATAATATTTCCTACCGCACGTAGCGTAGGTGTCCGCCTCTACCCGAGACACTAAGACACTCGGCCCGCACACTTGGCCCGCCCCTCAGTCTTCTTCACTGTCCAATAATCATTGCCTCATGCAAGTATTGACATCGGCCGCTCCTCCCTCTCTTTAGTGTGCAGCACATTTGACTGGCCCCTTCCGCAGCTTTGGACACATCTGACCGGCTCCTCCCAGTCTGCAGCATCAGGCACGTTGGGACCACACCTGAAGAGCCAGAAGCAGGTAGGTTCTATTGGCAACTAACAGGTTGAGTGGGAGCTGACAGTATACTTAATGGGAGGCGCAGTTAAGACTTCTAACGATCGGCCGCACGGGTAAGCAAGGCACATCAATGCCTGCGGTCCGGTCAGAAAAAATAGTGCTTGCAGCATTTTTTATGACTGAACCGGATCGCAGGCATTGATGTGCCTTGCATTCCCGTGCGCTCCCTCCCACCCCGCAACAAACTGAGTCGGCCGCAATGCGATCCAGTGCGTTCCGGCCAAAATAGTGCTGGAACGCACTGAGGATGCACACCATAAACAGTGCGTTCCAGAGTGCTTTGGAATGCACTGTATCGCAGTCTGGCCGGTTCCCTGCGTTCAGGGGCGATCGCCCGCACCCGAATGCGTGGCACATTAGTGCCTGTGTTCCAGTCCAGTGCAATCTGCAAAAATGCTGCAAGCACTAAATTTGCAGATTGCACTGAACCAGAACGCAGGCACTAATGTGCCACGCATTCAGGTGCAGTTCAGGTGAGAGCGAATTGCAATACGGGCGGGGGGCATGGCTATGGTGACATTGACTTCAATGACAGAGGCAGCTGAAACCAAGGGGTCTATTCACAAAGCTGTCCCAACATAGACTGGTACCATATGTGGGCTCTTGTTGAGCTTCAGAAGGGTGCATGGCCCATGCCCCGAGCATTGTGTTGAAGAAAAGAGAACTGGTCAGACTCAAGGACCATTAATGTCTCCCCAAAGACCCCAGGAACCTCTGGTTAGGCAAGACATTCATAGCTACTGCACAAACACATACTACCCTACTCAATGCCACTGCACTGACACGCACTACCCCACTCACCACCACTGCACGAAACACATTACTCTACTCACCACCATTGCACTGACACTTACTGCCCCACTTACTGCCACTGTACTGATGCTCATTACCCACCCATTCCCAATGTACTGACACACACTACCCTGCTCACCACACTGCCATCACATGCACCAACCCACTCACAGCCACTACATTTTGACACGTTACGCTGCTCACCACCACTGCTATGACACACACTACTCCACTCACTGCCACTGAACTAACCTGCACTATATCACTTACCACCACTGCAGTGACCTACACTACCCTTCTCATTGCCACTACACTGATGCACACTTCTGCGATTATTGCAACTACACAAACTTGCACTACTTGCAAATTCATCCCATTCACTGTGCCACCCAACAGGTCCCTGCCACTTCGCTAACTCTGCATGACCCAGCCACTTCACTAATGGAGCATGACCCCACTTAATGAGTGGGCATTGAAGAAACCCTCTATAAAATCCTAGTGCACAGTTGACATCACTCCAGTTGGGCCCCCTCCAACCCAAGCCACCTCCAGCTGCAGCAGTCACTCAGGCAGTCATAGTGCATGCTGGCTCAGTTGTGTGCTTTCTCCAGGCAGCACACAGCACTTTGGAGCCAGCAAGAGGTCTGTCATGCAGAGGCAGAGGCAATGAGCACCCAATACAGGTTGAAAATATCAAACTTCTGCACCACCACATCTGTACTCAA